GGATTAAAAGTGTGGATCATTGTAACCTGGATTAAAAGTGTGGATTAATGTAACCTGGATTAAAAGTGTGGATTATTGTAGTGAAGCCTTCGTCTTCAACCATGGACAGAGGCCTCATGTCAGTGACGATCATGTTCAGGATGTTTCAGTGAAGACAGCTGCTGCTGTGGTGTCCATGATGTCTGTCCATCATGAAGGATGTTGTTGTTTGTTGTTGTTTTCTGGAATGAGACAGTAAATATGTTTTATAACATAATTTACAGCAACTCAAGAAATGCCTTGTTTCACTTACAGTGTTAGGTTCAGGCAAAAGTAGCTAAAAGAGCAATTAAACACACACACACACACACACACACACACACAAAATACTTAATTACACACATTTGAGTAGATGTAATAAATTACTTTAATTCCTGTTTAAATGCAATTCATCCTGCCATACCTGCAGTGTCTTCAGACTTTGCCAGCAAATTAAAAGTTGAAGCTTAATCATTAAATTATTATCTTTGTGTTAGATTTATTTATAAATCACATTTAAACACTGCTTGTACCAATTAAATTAAATAAAAAGTAACACACACGTTCTCTATCACCATCATTAATCAGATAAACAAACAAACAAACAAGCAGCTTCATCTACCAGAGAGACTGACGTTACGTTTTCTCTCTTGAAACAGAACAAAGTGTTAAATTGTAGAGACTCACCTGCAACACATGAAGAGTTGTATCAGCTGCAGCTCCTTCCTCCTCCTCGTGACTCCCACATGTTTACGTTTCATCTCCGTGGTTCTCTCGTGTCGTGTCGTCACTTTTCAAAGCTGCATGTTTCTCATTTTTTATCTTTGTGAAGTTCTCCCACTCTTTGGAGGACTTGGGTCGAACAGTTTTCTCTGCGTTGGTCATTTGTAAAATTTACTTATTTTCCTTTGAAAACAGCCTCTGCTGCAGCCTTTGCTCTGCTCCCCCCTCGCTCTGCAGAGGTTTTTTTTTCTTCCAAACTTTATTCAGTCAGGCAGCATTGACAATGAACTGCCCGTGAACAAAACGGCTCCGCAGCGCCGTGAGAGATGCATAATCGCGCGACACAACAAATCAATAATGAAATTTGTTGCCAACGCTTTTAATCATCGAATTTTATCGATTCGTTGTTGCAGCCCTAGTCGAGACATCCCTTAAACCTTTGTCAGCTGTTTGTGAACAAAGTTTCTGTCCAACAATCGACACAGAGAAAAACAGGGTGCTAAACTGGGGAAATGTAAAAGGCTTTCATTATTTTGTTAACTGTAAACATTTTTATGAACATTTAGTTTTTATTTTTTACTCAAAAATTAGAATAAAAAATGCATGTTTGATTTAAAGACAGACTGGACATAACCATTAAAAACTGGTACATTGTAGTTTTACAAAAATTCAAGGAAAATAAAATCCCCACAACTGTAATTTGTGTATCTACATTGAAATTGTTGCTTTTGATCATTTTGTGATGCTAAGCAGAGGTCTGACCTTGACTGAGGGTCTTTTTGGGGGGTTTGTTGAGAACTGAAGGTGCAGGTGAGGGTGTGGGCATGGCATCCTGCCCCTGTCTTGCTGCCATGGGGTCATATTCCTTCCCATCATAGTTGGCATCAAAGAACTTCTTAAACCACTGAACAAACTCAAAGTTGTCCTGGAATTTTCCCTTCACCAATTTGTCAACGGGGATAATCTGAAAGAAGACAGAATGAGATGCAGATGATGGCTCAGGTCTGTGAGCTTCTGTCAACACTTAGAACCAAGAGAGACTTTAAAACGTGTGCAGGAAACAACTGGAAAAAGGTTTCAGCTCTGTACAACACACCAGCTGTAGATAGCTCCCTGAGAGAGCTGAGAGCCTCACGGCTAGTCCAAATGCATACAAGACCAAAGTGGACCGCTCACATTATAGAACAATGCTATTTAAATCTTTACATGCCTGTAAATTTGTCATTACACAATCATTTTGGTGGAAATTAGAACTGGACGATATGGTAAATGGACTGTACTTATATAGTGCTTCTCTAGCTCATCAAGACAACATCATAACCCACGCAGCAGACATTTGCTGCATGGGTTTCTCTTCTGATACAGCTGGGGGCGTTTCAGGGACACGTTGGCTCAAACTTAGATTGTGCTTCATCTTGTGACTCATCATGTTCGATCAAGTGGAAACTCTTCAGATGGAACAAGTTAGATGTTCACACTGCTAGTTAGAACGACTCTCCGTCACATTTTAAAGCACACGAAACCTGCAGTTTATCAGATCTTGAGTTGAGTTGGGCTGAAGAGGAGCTTTGGAAAAGGGCCTTTATGCCCCATTTGCTCTGCTCCTGCTCAGCCTGGACTTGCACCGTGTCCAGAATCCAAGTCCTGCTAATGAGAGTTCTGCGATGAGTTACTCAAATCAGTCTGCTCCTCAGATAAATAATATTATTTTTATATATGAATGTTTCTGTTCAGTGCCCTGAGACGACTTCTGTTGTGACTTGGAGCTTTATAAATAAACTGAACTGAATTAAATCTGATGAACCAGATTCTACAAAAACATCTATATTTAAATCTATAAAAGTTAAGTCCGGTCCTCTGGACGTTCAAAAAACAAACAAAATGTAGAAACGCTTCTTCTTTAATCCGAAAGACTTCTTCAGTCTGAGGAGCTTATTCAGCTCATAGCTATTTATACAAGACTGAGCTGAATAAGCTCCTCAGACTGAAGAAGTCTGTCGGATTAAAGAAGAAACGTTTCTACATTTTCTAAAAAAGTTCAATCTGGTCCTCTGGACATTCAAAAAAAACAAAAAACAAAACAAAGCAAAAAAAAAGTAGAAACGTTTCATCTCTCATCCGAGAGACTTCCTCAGTCTGAGGAGCTGTATTCAGCTCAGTCTCTTAAATAGCACCTTCTCAGAGTGGATCAACTAGTTTGCTGCTGACAACCAGAACCAGCTGATCACATGCTCAAGAAGGACCATCAGCCTAACAATGGATCATTAGCACCTGATGGCTGTTTACTATTCACAGAGGGCTGAGTGATACTAGCAATCACAGCATTGTAAGAGGGGGACAGTTGAACCTGGAGGCTCCGCCCCTGTTTAACGATGGACGGTTTCTTTTCACAAAGATGGCCTCCTTTACTCCTCTCTCAAACCATCGTTCCTCTCTGTCCAGGATGTGAACATCTTCATCCTTGAAAGAGTGACCTCTGGCCTGGAGATGAGTGTAGACCTCAGAGTCCTGGCCTGATGATGTTGATCTTCTGTGCTGGGCCATCCTTTTGGCCAGTGGCTGTTTAGTTTCCCCGATGTAAGACTGATCACCCTCCTGACACTGAACAACATACACAACATTACTCTGTTTGTGCCGGGGGACTGGATCTTTGGGATGAACCAGTCTTTAATGTATTTTGGGGTTTAAAAGCCACTGGGACGTTATGTTTAGAAAATAAACGTCTCAGTTTCTCTGATACTCCCTCAACATATGGAATGACCACTGGTCTGGGTCTGGGTTCCTCCTTTTCACCTGATGGCTGACTGGAGTCCTGTTTGGGTTTCTTCTCTGCTTTTAGGAAGGCCCAGTTAGGATATCCACATTGCTCTAGAGCCTGTCTTGTGTGGGATTTCTCCTTCTGCCTGGCTCCTGAGCTAGTGGGGATGCTGTCTGCTCTGTGGTACAGAGTCCTGATGACTCCTAACTTGTGCTCCAAAGGGTGATGGGAGTCAAACTGCAAATACTGGTCTGTGTGGGTGGGTTTGCGGTACACCTCAGTTTGCAAATGTCCTCTATCAGAGACTGAGACCTCACAGTCCAAGAAAGCCAACCTGCCATTTTTTTACATCTTCTCGTGTGAACTTGATGTATTTATCCACAGAGTTGATGTGGTCAGTAAAATGTTGGACTTCCTGAGATTTGATTTTAACCCAGGTGTCGTCAACATACCTGAACCAATGACTTGGTGGTGTCCCTGAAAAGGACGTCAAGGCTCTCTTTTCTACCTCCTCCATGTACAGGTTGGCAACAATAGGAGAAACTGGAGACCCCATAGCACACCCATGTTTCTGCCTATAATATTGCTCCCCATATGTGAAGTAGGTTGACTGCAGGCACAGTTTCAAGAGTTGACACAGTTGTTCTGTGGAAAGTGTGGTCCTGCTGCTCAGAGTGGTGTCTGATTTTAATCTTAAACTGACCACCTCTACTGCATCAAAAAAACCTTTATACATTTGTAAATGAGTTTTCTTTCTAAGAATGCCAGCAGACTGCGTAAGGTTTTCACTTCAGCAAAGTCCCCGTCCTGAGCAGCTTGGAGGAAAAAACATCCAGCAGAACCTGAACCAGGCTGGGGATTGGCCTCCACTGGACTAATGGTTGGAGTACAGAGAAAATTACATGCACACAGGTCCAGGGATAGTTTCTATAGGAAGGAATCAGAAGAACACAGCTGAGCTTAATGACAGGAGTTACTGCAAATGCAGGCAAGAAGAATAGAGAGGAAACCAGTGGTTGAAGAGTTGGGATTTGTTGATTAATACATCAACATTTGGGTAGGGGGGTTATTTGTTCCATCCTAATATAAAGGATTTAAAACATCAAAGTTCATGCTTAATAATCCAGGTAAAAAGTACAACAGTCGGGTCATCTGGACTTTTTTTTTTAGACGTTTTGTCTTTCATCCAAAAGACTTCATAAGTCCGAGGAGCCACAACAAACTCAGTCCCACAAGCAGCACACTCCCATAGTGGGCCAACCAGTTTGCTGGTGGTAAGTGGCTTTTGATGTTTTGAACCACTTTAGCTATGGCTACCTCAAAGGAGTTGACAGGGGAGAGGGCAGGCCCCAGAAACCATCTTAGCATCAGCAAACTGATTGTGCCACTATAGCTGTGTTTACATGCGCAAATTTTGTTGACCAGATTAAAACTAGGGATGCACCGATCCACTTTTTTATTTATTTTTTTATTTTTATTTTTTACTTCCGATCCGATTCCGATACCTAGATCTAAATGTCGTCCGATACCGATCCACTTTTTTATTTATTTTTATTTTTTACTTCCGATCCAGTTCCGTTATCATGATCATTGATTTTATATGAGGCTGTAATAATCTGCTCTCAGGTACAATTTGTACAAATATATGCATGCATGTCCAAAAAGACAACTTGATGTAAGTTTTATTAATGTTGGATAAAATTTAAAGTTAGAATTAAATTCTAACACAAAACATGTTTTTTTATTTCTAGTTTTAAAGTGGATATTAAAGTGATTAATTTAAGTGATAGTTTAAAGTTATTTTATATTTTTTTAAATAAGGGGCAGAAATAATAATGTTTTTCTTCTTTCTGAACTCTTTTCATTCAATGTTTTCTTTTTGATGATTTTGTTTTGTTTATTTTAAATTAATGAATAAATTAATTAAATTAAATGTTAAATGTCTTCAAACACCTGCTAAGTTCATGGCATAAACCAACAGACATGTTCCTGTTTTTAGTATTTTACATCACTTTATAATGTTTTTGTTTTATTATATAATTTTCAAATCATAAGTTTTTTATGATTGTCTACTGTTGTACTGATAAATATCTCCTGGAGGGTAAACTATATCTTGGCTGCAAGTATCAAACTGTAAAATCCTTTGTTTTCTACAACTGATAGTGGTTGGTCATTAATTATGATGAAGTTTAGCAACTTCTCTGTAAACATTAGAGCTCCGGGGCTTCAGCGGTGTCTTCTTCTTGTTCAATCTGAAGTCTGGTAGCCTGATTTCAGTCAGCTGCGCTCAGTCTGTCCCTCCTCAGAGACGGAGGGACAGACTGAGCGTGGCTGACCGGGGTCGAGTCGCCTGTTGTGGGTTGAGCAAGAGTAGCGTCTAGCTGAAGTCCCGGAGCTCGAATGTCCTTCATAAAACTAACTTTACCGTGGTTTAACGTGGCGCTGTGGCTCTGCAGACAGTGCACGTTGCTGTCTTGTTTTGTGTGTTTAGTGTAAAATACTTCCACACAGCGACATGTTTAGATGAAAAGTTTGTTAGCTGTTAGCCACAGTGCTGCTAACTCAGTCCTCACGTTGTAGCTGGCTGCAAACTATGAACTGGATTTCCTGAATGTGAGGCGGGTCTTATTACTCTGGGTCCATGAGACACGCCTCCGTTCAGGAAATCCATTCCATAGTTTGAAGCCAACATACATCATGGATCAGAAATATCAGCAGGTGGATCGGAAAAATCCGATACGTAAATTATGCTGGTATCAGAGCCCGATACTGGATCGGATCGGCCCCATCCCTAATTAAAATGTGTTCAGATTAAATAATTCAAATGTGTTGTTTACATGGACACAATCTGTTCATGATGAGTGTTTACCTGCAGCGGGCTTTGTTCTGAACAGAAGTACCGACATGTGCAGAGTGGTAAACTCTACTTAAAAAAATCACAGAAGAAGTTCTACTTCCGGTTTACTTCCGGGATGAACGTAAACAAACCTGAGCACCAATTTTAATGATGTTGGAGACGTTACTGCACTCCCAGACTGAGCTACAGGTGATACAGATCATTTTGAGCTCTTTAAAAGTTTCTAGTAGACATGTTGTGTCGCTCACCGACCAGTTTTACTTCCCTGACATGCTAATATTATTAGCGTTAGCCAGGTGGAAATGGCAAAGTCGCACATGCGCAGTCAGGTTAGTTTTTCACCATCAGA